CACATGGATGCTTCTTCAATTTTTTGTACGACGGTACAAGGATTTTATTTGTCTAAAACGATCTTATGTGAACGAAAACAAACATATTCTGTCTGATTTAGATTTGAATCTATTTTCAGACATTTTAATCTCGATAAATCAAATCTTGTTTAAATGATGTGTTTTTAACTATTAAAACTTTCCATTAGTATTTCGGCTGATTTATTAAATGGTAAATATCTTTGCTTAGAAAATTGGAACGTAGACTAAGTATATTTGAATTGACTTCACGCAATGTATTTGCACATTTTTTCAAATTTGTAAATGTGATTTACATCTTCGAATAGACTAATTATATGAAAATGACGACGCAATTTCATTAAAAGGATGCAACAATCAAAGGCAAGAAAACGAGTAATATTACACTCAATAAACTATCAGTTCAAGTAGAATTGCATTTGAAGTTTGTTCATAGATTTACTACGTTTTTTTCTAATGCAATAAAATACGAGGTAGAAAGGTAAAAGCGTTTCATTTTACATTTTCTGATGGTTTTAGCGCATATCCACATACATGTAATATACATCTGAGTCCACAACCTGTTTTAATGGGGTTCAAAAAGCCCCACTTTTAATGTTATGCGTAATGTTTTGAGGACTTTTATTTGTCTGTCAATCTATAAGGACTCAGAACGTTTCCAACCATTCGACCGAAAACAAGAAAACGATTTCGATTCCGAAACATAAACAGTAAATATCGTCAATACCAGTTACGTATTTAGCTGCTCAATTATTGTTTGATTAAATAAACATACATAACGTTGTGAAATTTCATCAAAGCTACACTGATTATAATTTAGTACGCGAGACGCGCGTTTGTCAATATAAGACTAATAGGTGCTCATATCGAGAAAGTGTCAAATATTGCATATGCGCCATGTGTGTTTGGGTATAATGGACAGTAAATTTACAAAAAATGGCCACATATATGTATTTCTTGTCAGCACTTGAGTGTTGACTACTGGGCTGGTAAATTCAGCTCGGACATTGCCCCCACCAGTAGTTTTATTTATGCAATAGTTGTAAATATTCATCAAAGATCATATGCTTAGAATTAAGTACACCAAACGCGCGTTTGGTCTACATAAGGCTCATCATTGGCGTTCAAATAAATTATCTTAAACACAAAATCAATTACGACTCTAAACTTTAAATCACATTGCGGATGATGCATGCACAACAGGAGACGCTTACCCACCATTTTTTCTTAAAATGTCCTGTACCAAGTCAGGAATATGGCAGTTGTTATCAAATAGTTCGTTTCTAGGTGTGTTGGCGTTTGTTTTTGTTGCACTTCGGTGTTTCTGTTGTTCCTTTGTTTTCCTTTATAGTTGTTGTGTTTCCCTCCGTTTTGGTTTGTAACCTGGATTTGTTTTCTCTCAATCGATTTATGACTTTTGAATATCGGTATACTACTGTTGCCTTTATTTACCCTATCGACTCACCCAGTTAAGACCATTTTGTAGTTCATTGGATTCCCTCAGGTTTTGTTTGTTACCTTGATTTGTCATCTTAATCGATATATATGAGATTTGAACAACGATATACTACTGTTGCCTATATTAAAAGAGTTCTGAAATCTTCAAAACCAAGACGGTTGTGACAAATATACATAATGCCTTATATGTTAACAAATTTAAAGGTAGCCGGCAACTAATTGTCAATAACAGAAAATGTTAAGGCCGTATTTATCCTCATTTGCATACTAGTAGTGGGAAATAATGTGGGAATGCAATTTGTCATATATACTTTAGAGCTGATACATTTTTAAGTATGCTGTATACCTTAATTTGTGTGGAATCCCTTGCATTGGGAGTTAACTTCATTTACATATAAATGTTGATGGCTTTTGATAAACTGTTACGAAGCTCTAACAAATCACCTACGTCATTCATTTCTCTTTAACGTTTTATAGATATTTAAAACTAATGAACTGCAGATATCAATATGCAAAGAATTTTGCATGTCGTAGATAGATATGTGTTCAACCCTTGTCAAGTTTGACACTTGCTGCTAATAACTGTCAGAAGTTAAAACTTGAGAGCTTAAAGTGAACCTTCCCTTCACGCGTTGTGTCTATCTTATAAGTCAGAGGAGATATATCTGGCAATTGTCAATCAATATGTTGTTAAAATCAATATACACATGTCTGATTTATGAAATATGTGACATAAAGAACAAAAACGTTGTGTATATTTAATGATAATATTTTGAACAATAGAAACATACGAGATACGAATAGAAACCTAAAACTATTATTTCAATCATTTCCAACATAACACAAAGTTAAAACTTTGTTGTTTTGCAATATTAAATGATTCTTCAGACGAATATTTAAATTGTTTTATATTAATATCGTTCACTTGGAGAACCTTTTGATACCTTCAAAAACAATTGCAGATCTTTTGTTAATCTCTGACACGTGATCTTTGACCTTACAAATCAGTGTTTAATTAGCACATATTTAATTCCTGGTCGTTTTAGTAATTAAACAAAGCGTTAACTCGTGATTGTTTCTAAGCTTTCAAAAAAGTTTTAAATCTTTTTATCTTGACGGCGTGAACCAGAATAGATAGTTTTAGTAAGAGTGTCCATCAAGGTTCTTAAAAGACTTATGATATTAAGTATATTTACCGAGGTGTAAAAACGTTAAATAATATGGTAATACTCGACATAGAACTAAGAAACTCTTTTTTGTCTTGTAAAACGTATTATATTCCATTTGCTTTTGGAAAAAATATATTAGTTTTCTTTTTCTTACCCAAGCAAGTCCTATTGCCATAGATATAATTATTGAAGAGACCTAAATTATGACAAAATTGTCATGGAATTCTTTAATCAAATTTATGACACCTGTCCTTTGACAAGATACAATTATACTTTTGAAAATAATCTCTGAAAATCTGCTGAACATAAATTAGCATACGTAATATCTTGTCTAACCAAGTAAAGATACTATCTCATAAAACAATTATCTTCAGTTTACAACTGATTTAAACTTGATTTACAAAAAAAAAACCACAATGATTCAAATGTTCTGACCTTAGAATAGTGGGTGTAGTTTGTTTATTTGAATTATTCCAACATTAGAACAACCACCATCAAGACATACACATCCATTGGGTATGTTAATTGTACTACCTTTTAACACAATGAACAGACAATCGTGTTAAAATGTTATTGAATTTTCATCATAACAAGGGATCTTGTATTGTCTTGTATATCAATAACAGGACATGTGGGGTATACGTCAATCAGATAGCAATCCAACGATACACATAACCAAGAGACATATAGGGGTCAACATATGTCAACCTCCCAATTGCTCTGAGTATAAAAATCTGTCACTGAATTATGCAAAGTATCAAAGTTTTGGTATTTTTTCCCTCTTGACACATACCAATCTCTTTTATCAAAGAATAATTAGTTAATACTGTAGTTAAAGAAGGCATATGGTACAAGAAATAAAAAAGACACAGGGCATGTGAAAAGTGAAACATGTATTAATATAACATTCGGAAACTATATTGTAAATTTACCTCTCTGACGCCAACCTTGCCTGAAGGAATTTTAAAGCTAGATATATCAAAATTTTGTCAACGGAGAATTCAATCAAAATGTGTGTATCGAAATATATGTGTCAAAGTGCTGTATATGGGGTAGATGAATTTTGAAGAGACCATTATTCACCAGGAAACCTACATATGCACACTTTTTTGCTTCTTAGATACGTGCATAGACATATTGATAGTTACATATATTCAATCCGAGTTAACAGAAACTTAGTAAAATCTACATCCTTGTTCATTTGTTGGTCCAAACTGAAGTTTACAATGATGATCCAAGGAAAGGAAATATTTTAATAATAAAGTTGGATGATTGTGTTTGGTTAATTTTCCGTTTTTGTGGCGACTTTTGAGTCATAAATATCCATCGATTGAAGTATGAACAATGGCTTAATAAAATACATAACAATGATAGGTATACAGTTCCGTTTAGCATTATCTTTAAAAGTTTAATAACCCTGAAGGTTTAACTGTCCTTGCATCATAAAGCATCTCAAAGTGGATATATATATTTTTTTAGATAGTAATAGACAACATGAATAAGATGGTCCCTTTAATCATAGGGCTTGTATAGTTAACGACGACAGCATGCTATCCAATAGCAGGCTGTCTCGTTTGATGTCAAATGATACGAGGTAATCTCTACCAAGATATTCATCTCATCCGAATATCTTAATCAAGGTATTGTGTACTGGTTTATCATAAGTTCAAAGTTGAATTTATTTAATTTTTTGTTAAAGTAGTATCTTATCAATTAAGTAATTAATTATGGTTATTTTAACATAATGAAAACAACTATTTTCAAAAGACAAGCGAACTCAGACAGAAAATCTTCTATGCACTGTTTTAATCCATAGTCGTCTGCTTATTCCCTTACAATACTTAACAATACCCGGTATATATCGGGGCATATATATAAATATGAATATCCCTTACATCACTGAAGAGACATTAATTGTTGAAATCCGGATATGGTGTACAAATTTTTTCACCTCATGTTTGCGGTATACCATCTTCTCCTCAAGTTTATTGTTTTCTGTTTGATATTAAATTGATAATTCAGATCCATGTTACATCTCGTGATCAATTTATTTGGCAATCGTCAATGGCAGTCAGCAGGGTTTAAGAACATCAAAAATACGAAAAATTATGTATATAATATTTTGTACCATTTCCGAATAAAGAAACGATAAAAATCATATATCTACAATCCATCGAATGTAATATGATTCACAAGCAGTAACCAGAAAAGGACAGTCAAATGCATGATTGCTCAAAGACAGATAAGAACATTCAATAAAATTTTTTCGTAAAATCAATTATTGTAATCATTATGTACACTGCATATCGTAACCCAGATTAATAAAGTTTTTGATAACCTTTTCTTTCGTTTTAGGCAGTAAAAGAAAATATGGAAACAGGGTGCAAGTGCCATGGTGTGTCTGGATCTTGTACAACGAAAACATGCTGGACAACACTACCAACGTTTAGAAAAATAGGAAACTATATAATGAAAAAATATGGAAGAGCTAAACTAGTGACTACACTAAAAGCAAAACGTAATAAAGTTCCATCACATCTAATAATAAAAAGATTAAAAAATAAACATACGAAGCCTAGGAGATCAGACGTTGTTTATTTAGAGAAATCTCCTAACTATTGTGATCATGATCCACTGAAAGGATCATTGGGAACTGTCGGGAGAACATGCAATCGGACTTCTACCGAAACTGACGGTTGTGACTTAATGTGTTGTGGGCGTGGCTACAATACACACCAATACACAAAAACGTGGACGTGTAATTGTAAATTTCATTGGTGTTGTTATGTCAATTGTAATAAGTGCAGCGAACGAACGGAGGAGTACACTTGCAAATAATCAACATCATTAAATGACTTCTATCTGAGGTTTCGAAGTACGCCAAATATGGCACGATATTTTGTTATTTCACACGTGGCACTGAAAATATATGATTACTTACTTTGCGTAATTGCTTATAGAGATCTAGCATATCATTTTTGCATTGTGTCCAATTTTGAAAGTTTCTGATGACAAGAATGAGATGTTTCTGAAAATGACAAATCGACGGCGTACGCACTTCACGTACAACTGGATACAGAAAACGACATACATGAACGTATGAAACTGACATTCAGCCTCGTGACTTAAGTTTGTTGATAACAGTTATGAACCATAATTATGATATTTGGTGGTGAAATGTGATATAATCCATATCACTGTTGTTATTGTCTGTGATACATGTATATATATTAGATTATTCCGTGTATGTGTTTCATCATATGTACATTTATACGTATATTACGTTATTTCATTACTAAGCATTCATTACTCATCATTTGTCGAGGTACATGTACATAAAAGAAGGTGCTTGAACCGTGAAAGTCGAAATGATTCAAGTAAAATTTATTGTATGACCATGAGACTGGCAATTCATCGCGTTCTCAATTTAATTGTTCTTGTTATTTCAAAAACAAATAAGTCACAGGATCTTAATAGCTTAGTTTGAAATATTATTAGTCTTTTTACAAGACAAAAGATTGCACCTTGTTTTCTTTTATATGTAGTGGATGAACATATCCAATTCATTTGATATTTTCTTATCTTGCCAAACAAATCACACTACAAAACATATTTTTATTTGCATATTGTACATACCATGTAAATTAAAATTAAATATTTATGTTTTCATATCTGTAGTTTCTCAAAGAAAATATGATAGTTTTACTGTGTTCGATTTGAATTCTGAATATTACCTTTATCAGGAACGTTCAGTACCAGAATTTGGAAAGATGTACAAGACGTGTTGGTTATTGTGTTGGGTTATTGTCTCATTGACGTATATATCCCACATCATTTATTTATATGAAAATTTGGAGCCTGAATTCAAGGGTAAATTTTTGTTGAGTGGGATGCAAATAAAATGAAAATTACACTTTATGATAATGCGTCTGAAGCGATTTTCTGGATTTACCTTCACCAGGAACGTTCAAAGCCAGGAATGTTTAAATACCGAAACACCAGAAAAGCTATATTTCCAAAAGAGACCTAAAATAATAATCAAATCCATCTAAGGTCAACTTTGACTGAGGGAGGTATAACCTTCGTTTTAATTCGTATAGAATTAAGGGCTTATAAAAAGTATATGAAAATAAGTGCAAATGAACAAAACTCACAGGACGTACTAGTCTGGACTAGGACTGGACTAGCCAGTAGAACTAATTCTACTACATGAAACGACAGTTTTTAAGAGGGAGGTTCATGGGTATTACCTGATTAATTTATACCGAGGACGCTAAGAAATGAAAGTTTGAAGGCAAAATGAGTTTATTTCGATACAACCAATTCGATCCCGGTGAGAAAGACTATACCAGAAAGTAGCAGTTTTTTTTATATAAAATGGTGCCTACGCATATATGTAAATTTCGAAATATGTATGATGTATTGATTATTTTGGTACCAAACGAAAGCTGGGAGATTAAGGACCATTATAGGATATGTTTTGACTAATTATTTTGAATAATAAAATAGATGTATGAAATTTAAATATTTTACCTGTTTCTGATACTTGGTGTACCTGTTTTGACACTTATGACTTCTTGACATTGAAAAATTAAACATTAAATGCAACGGGTTCATGAATTAGTGGTTTTGCTTCAAATGAGGGCTGGTGTAATAATTAAGACCATGAAATCTACATGTGAAGGGGACTTTCAGGCTCTTTTGACGTTACCAAATGTATAAATACACAAACCGTACCGTCCGATTTGGAATGCTAACTGCAATATTCATCATAAATTGGAACTGATATGGCTTACATTCAAAATTGCAGAAACTATTGCCACTCATTAGTTGTTTTGTCTTTTAAGTTTGATTTTTTTTCTTAATTACTTCACAATTACACCATACTTTAATACATTAATAATTGCATGTCGACCAAAAAGACAATCAATATATAAGTAAGGAGATGTGGTATTATTGGCCATGAGACACCTATCTTCGATGGATTAAAGGACGAGGGGTTAACAACTGTAAAGAATTGTGCGGCATTCAACAATAAGCAAAACTTTAACGTAATGAAAGCTAGAAAAGCTTCTGTTATGACAAAATATGATGCAATTCAAAAAAGAAAACCAACGATTAATGCTGAAAACAACAAACGAAAAACAAAATAAGGCAGACAGCGAACAACGACAATCGCTGAATCACAATCTCCTGATTTTGGAGCAGACATGCACATGATAAAGAATGTGGCGGAGAACATTATCGTAAAGGCTCAATCTTTTTTTTAATTTTGATGTGTAGTTTTCTTTGTCTAGTTGGTATGCGTTCTTTGATTGTCTCTACTTAATTACTTCGCAAATTGTTGATGGAGATTGTGTGCGAGTTGGCCGCTCAACATTCGTTGTTGTTTATTAGACTGTAGTAACCTTTGGCTTTTAGGACGTGTATACAGTGTACCTGCGCGTTCCATCATTTGTGTTTCTATATTGTACTATATCTTAATGAATAAAAAATAGTTTACACAATTTCATCTGGTAGTGTTGCTTTCCTTTTTAGTGGGAAATTTATATGTTGTAGAGACGATAAAACAAGGATCTCAAAAATGTCTTTTTTAGATAAAATTCTTCCACGAACTCATCTAAGGATTTCGTAATTGCAGTCCTTCAAAGATAAAGATATTGATATTAAGTAATTTTAAGCGAATAATTGTGCTGCTGGTACTCAAATTACAAAATAAACACTTTTCCAAAGTTTTTTCGCCCAAAAAAACATTACACGAATCGATCACACAAAATATGTATTTCTACAAAAATTAATTGTCTTCCGGTCAATTCTGTTTACATGTCACATTTAAAAGACTGCATTATCAAAATCCATTCGTTTTATTAAGAAAAAACTATAAGTATCTTTGACGAATAACATATTAAACAAGTTTAATTCTTCAAATTTACTTTTTTCATTGAAAAAAGTTTTATCCCGTTAAGCAGATTATTTCCATTGAGAACTCAAAAACGTTTATAAATCCTTCCTTCATGATATAGATAGACGAAAAAGCCTATTGATATATCCCCTAATTCGCCGTTGCGTGGAAGGGAGAAAGTGGCATTAAGGAATGTCGGAATTTTGCTTTAAAACTCAATGACATGAGAAATCCCAAAAAGTTGGTAACATATATAAATATAGACCCTGGGACATCTCCTTTAAGACATTGAAACCCGCGCTACAGTAGGGATTCCATTTGAAATTGCTCGATGAAGAAATACACAGCCACGTCAGGTCGATAAATCTTATACTGAGTGTAATAAGAATGCATTCTTTTAGGTGTCCGTAGAATGCCTGTAAACTTTCTTCCCTATCCAGCGTGCCCACTTTTTCAGTGGCAGTCCAAATTTCACGTCCTTCAACTGGGTCGCCCCATTTGAATGAAATTATCGTTTGCATTTAGTGTCAATCGCTGGAAATGCTAGAAATAATTGTCACTTGACGTTATGCAAGAAAAAGCTATCAATAAGTCAATGACAAAAAGCAGACCTTGGCCAGATGTTTAATTTGGAACTTCCTTATAATAGAAGTTCCAACTTTTCATAAACATTTATATTATTAAACATTTGACGTACATCCTTGGCTATTAATTGTCTGATTTTGAGCTTATCCAATGAAGATAAATCCAGAAAAGTACTACGGACGCAGGAAATTAATAAATGATAATTTTCATTAACAGTGTATATAAAATCTACAAAATCTAGTGAGAAGAAAACTGTCTAAAGAAATATCATAAAGAAAAATGACAATTTATCGGACATTTGTTATTTGGTAGGTGCTTTTTAGCCTTATAGAAACTATGGTATACGACGTGTCTCGGTATTTTGTACATCCAACATTCATGTATTTATTTTTGATGTTTCTGTTATGGTTTCGGTTGGATAATCTGTTATGTCTTATCGTTTGTAGTCCAAATAATTATAAAACTGTTTGGACGAGTATTGTGAAAATAACTGTATAAAGTTCGAGATTGCATGTTAGTTATGTAAGCGCGTCACTGTTTGTGATTTCCTGTAGTGTCTGTCGTTGATGGAATATGTTCGTTGTTGTTCTGCGGTTTGCATGTTGTGTCGACTTTAATATTATGTGTTTGTGCTATATTTCTGTCACGTAGTGTTGTCATTTTAGCGATATTTTTTAAAATTGTCATAAAGCGGGAGGTTTGGTTAGCAATTAAACCAGGTTCAACTCACCATTTTTTCTTAAAATGTCCTGTACCAAGTCAGGAATATGGCAGTTGTTGTCAAATATATCGTTTCTATGTATGTAGGCGTTTGTTTTTGTTGCACTTCAGTGTTCTTGTTGTTCCTTTATTTTCCTCTTATAGTTGATGTGTTTCCCTCGGTTTTAGTTTGTAACCCGGATTTTGTCTCTTCTCAATCGATTTATGACTTTTGAACACCGGTATACTACTGTTTCCTTGATGTATATTTATTTTTTTTATTTATTAACTGTGTGTTTCATTGACACCTCATTATACTCGGGAAATGTCTAAAATGAACGAAATCTTGCAATAACGCAAAACTTACTTTTTCAGAATATATTTAAATTCGGGAATTTTGTCAAATCTTGCAAAAGAAGGGCTACAGGCACGATTTTCTCACTAATCAAGTAAAGAGGGTTCTTTCTTCTGATGCTCCGACGATTATAATTGCCTAATGGTCTTTTACAAGAACTGCGGATTTCAATTTAAGTTTATGATGAGAATTAATGAAACATGTTAGTAATGTTTAGATTTGTTTTCTTGAACGGCAGTATCAAACCAAAAGCTGTATCTACCTCAACTAGACTCTTGTAGAATCGAACACATTTTGAGTCTGCTTTCGAAATTAAGAGCCGTTTTTTATTTCCTTGTTTTTTTTTTTCTGCCCTGTGCATGATTTTATTGTTTGTTTTTAGTTTTACTAGATACGGTAAATTCAGAAATTATTGCGAGGTTTTTATTAATGCGAATAATGCGACTGGGCGAGTATCGGAATAATAAGGACTCGCATTCTGATATCTGAGACATATAATGTATTCAGCTTTTCTTGAAATCGCAATAATTAATCTCGCATTTTTGTTATTTCTTCCAAAATCGCAATAATAAAAGGCACGCAATAATTTCTGAATTTACAGTATGCAAAGGGGTAGGTTTGGTTGCATGTACAACTGGTTTAATATTTTGTGCCTACACCAAGTCAGGCTATCAAAACCGTATGCTGTTCGTTGTTTGTTTTATCGAAGGAGTCAGATGTTGAATGATGGCTGAGTGGTCTGTTGTACTGTGCTGGATTTTTGTTTGTATGATGGGTTTTTTTTCGATTTCTGTTATCCATTTTTGTGTATTACATGTATTTACACCATATCTGCTTTTAGTCACCATGGAGGTAATACTATATAATACTAGAAGTATTAATTTTGATTTACAGCTCACCTGATAACGCTGTCCGAAGAAACACAAGTCAGGTATTTTGTGCCTAAATAAGTATAATTCGCTATTATATAGACCAGCATATCAGATTAATTTTGTCCTCGCATTTCTATTCAAATGTTTTACTATAAACGTCAAATAACTATTTCTTGAAATGACGCGTAACACATGCAGTATATACCAATGGCATTGATTTAGAATTGATTTTTTTTCCATGAATTTTCTTAAAAGT